GAGGCTTTTGGGCGATCTCGGGGTCCGCTTGGGCCGACTCGAGCTCTCTTTGGGCCTGATGGGGTGTCTTGGAGCTATCATGGTGGCCACGTGGGCTGTCTTGGGTGGTCGGGAGCCCAACCGGGCGAGAATCTCAACATCCTTCACACACCCGAGGTACATCAGCGGTGTCTGCCTCCTCAGGCTCTCTTGGAGGGCCTCTTGGAGCCCTCTTGGGCCGTCTTTGGAGCTTCTTGAGCTGTCTTGAGGCCATCTTGGGAGCCTCTTGAGTCGTCTTGGGCCATCTTGGACCGTCTTGGTGTTATCTTGGCAGTCTTGTAAGCCGTCTCGGAGGCCATCTGGCCCGTTTGGATGCCGACCAGAGCGCCAGAAAGCAATTCCACAGGATGCGATTTCAGAGCCACGCGCGGGCCGATGGGGGAGTGATGCTGATGATGCTGATGATGATGATGCTGCTGCTGATGATGCTGATGATGATGATGGTGCTGATGCTACTGATGATGATGATGATGATCATGATGATGATGATGATGATGATGATGATGATGATGATGATGGGGTGATGATGATGATGATGATGATGATGATGATGATGATGATGATGATGATGATGATGATGATGATGATGCTTGTGATGATGATGACGATGCTGATGATGATGATGATGATGGTGATGATGATGATGATGATGTTTGTGATGATGATGACGATGATGATGATGATGATGACGATGCTGATGCTGATGATGATGATGCTGATGCTGATGCTGATGCTGATGATGCTGATGATGCTGCTGCTGCTGATGATGATGATGATGCTGATGTTTGTGATGATGATGATGATGATGATGATGATGATGATGATGATGATGGCGATGATGTTGATGATGATGATGATGATGATGATTATGATGCTGCTGCTGATGATGATGGGGTGATGATGATGCTGATGCTTGTGATGATGATGATGATGATGATGACGACGATTCTGATGATGATGATGATGACGATGCTGATGCTGATGATGATGATGCTGATGCTGATGATGATGATGATGATGATGATGATGCTGCTGGTGATGATGATTATGATGATGCTTATGATGATCATGATGATGATGATGATGATGATGATGATGATGATGATGATGATGATGATGATGATGATGATGATGATGATGATGATGGTGATGATGATGATGATGATTCTGGTGGATGATGCTGCTGCTGATGATGATGACGGCGATGATGAGGAGGAGGAGGATGAGGGTGAAATCTTCCTCCTTTGCTCCGTCCTCCCCTCTACGTCCTGCCTCCTCATCCCCCCTCTGTCCTCCTCCTCCTCCTTTTCCTCCTTCTCCTCTTCCTACTCCTCAATCCTCACTCCTCCCTTCCGTCTCCTCACCTCTTTTATTCTCCATAGTCTATCCCGTATCTTTCTCCTCATGCTTCTCCTCCTCTTCCTCCTCCTCCTCCTCCTTCTCTTCCTCTTCTTCTACACGTGCACAATCTGAATACTACTCTCCTCTCTCCCCTGGTGGCGTCCGGGGAATGTCTGGCGCCCCTCCGCGTACGGTTTTTTACACAGGATTCCCTTCCCGAGAGTTGGGTTTCCGCTCGTTTTTTCCCACATGATTCGTGGGGTTCTGGTTTTCATCCTTGCCGCGTCGCACCCCCGAGTTTCACTCACCTCCCCTCCTCCTCCTTCTCCTTCTCGCACAGCACAGCACAGCACAGCTTAGCTCAGCACAGCACAGCTCAGCACAGCACTGCACAGCACAGCATAGCACCTCAGCGCAACACAGCTCAGCTCAGCTCAGCACAGCACAGCACAGCACAGCACGACGGTCGTCCAGGGCGCAGCAGGCGTTGGTTTTTGTCGACACCATAGGAGGTGCGCAGGGGGTGGTCCCTGAGGGCGGCGTCTATGCGGGCCATGGCGCAGGGAATAGCAGACGTGGCACTTTCTCGACACCATAGGGGGTGCGCAGGGGGTGGTCCCCGAGCGCGGTGTCTATGCGGGCCATGGCGCAGGGAATAGCAGGCATGGCATTTTCTCGACACCATAGGGGGTGCGCAGGGGGTGGTCCCCGAGCGCGGTGTCTATGCGGCCACGGCGCAGGGCATAGCAGGCGTGGCATTTCCTCGGCACCATAAGGGGTGCGCAGGGGGTGGTCCCCGAACGCGGCGTCTTTGCGGGCCATGGCGCGGGGCATAGCTGGCGTGGCATTTTCTCGACACCATAGCGCAGGGGGTGGTCCCCGAGCGCGGCGTCTACGCGGGCCATGGCGCAGGGAATAGCAGGCATGGCGCTGTCTCCTCACCATAAGGGGGTGCGCAGGGGGTGGTCCCTGAGGGCGGCGTCATGCTGGCCATGGCGCAGGGCATAGCAGGCGTGGCTCTTTCTCGGCATCATAAGGGGGTGTGCAGGGGGTGGTCCCCGAGCGCGGCGTCTATGCGGGCCATGGCGCAGGGAATAGCAGGCATGGCGCTGTCTCGTCACCATAGGGGGTGCGCAGGGGGTGGTCCCCGAGCGCGGCGCCTATGCGGGCCATGGCGCAGGGCATAACAGGCGTGGCATATTCATGACACCATAGGGGGTGCGCAGGGGGTGGTCCCCGAGCGCGGCGTCTATGCGGGCCATGGCGCAGGGCGTAACAGGCGTGGTACTTTCTCGACACCATAGGGGGTGCGCAGGTGGTGGTCCCCGAGCGCGGCGTCTTTGCGGGCCATGGCGCAGGGCATAGCTGGCGTGGCACTTTCTCGACACCATAGGGGGTGCGCAGGGGGTGGTCCCCGAGCGCGGTGTCTATGCGGGCCATGGCGCAGGGAATAGCAGGCATGGCACTTTCTCGACACCATAAGGGGTGCGCAGGGGGTGGTCCCCCAGCGCGGCGTCTATGCGGGCCATGGCGCAGAGCATAGCATGCGTGGCATTTTCTCGACGCCAGAGGGGGTGCGCAGGGAGTGGTCCCCGAGCGTGGCGTCCATGCGGGTCATGGCGCAGGGCATGGCAGGCGTGGCTGTTTCCCGACACCAGATTTGGGTGCGCAGGGGGTGGTCTCTGAGCGTGGCGTTTATGCGGACCATTGCGCAGGGCATGCCCGGCGTGACACTCCCTCCAGTTGAACGAGTTGAGCGTTGAGTTCGAGTTGAACGTACAACACGTTTAACATTCTGGTTCCGGTTTGGCTTCCGCGCCGCGCCGCCAGGGTCTCTGCGCTGGTGCGGCGTAGATTCCCTTTCAACGAGATGCGTTCTCCCCCCCTTGCCTTGCCCCCCTGGCATGACTCTCCTCTCCCCCTGCCTCCTTCCCTCCTCCTGTGCTCCTCCCTCCTCTTCTCCCTCATTTCCTCCTTCCTATTCTCCTTCCTTCTCCCTCCTTCTCCCTCCTCGACCTCCCCCGGCGGCCGCTTTCCTTCGCCCATCGGTAAACCTTCGCAGGCTTTGTGCAACGCAGCGGGATGCCCACAAAAGGCGACTGGCTCCTCTAGAGCAGAATCCTCTCTCCTTCCTTCTGTCCCTCCCTTTCCTCTCCGCCTTGTCCCTTGGTTTCTGTCGCCCCCGTCCTCCTTCCCACCCTCCCATTTCCACCCCTTCCTCCCATTCCGCCCATCCGTGTAGCAGACGTGGCGTATTCTCGTAACCTTAAGGGGTCCGCAGGTGGTGGTCTCTCAGCGCGGCCGCTATCCGAGCCAGTCGTCCAGGGCGTAACAGACGTGGCACTTTTCCGACGCCTTAGGGGGTGCGCAAGGAACGGCCGCCAACATCATTCTTACATGCTTCAATTCAGGTATCATCACTCCAGCCAGGATATGAGTATGTGGGGTTTCTCGGTCGCGTATTTTTTGTTCAAAATGCTGCTCTAGCTGAAGCGCTGGCCTCATTTCCGCGCTTTCGCTCGTACCGAATCGTGCTCCCGCTGCAGCGCTGGCGTCATTGTTTCGAGCGCCATGCCCCGGCATGGTCTTCGGTCCTTCCAAATAGGGCCCGGGTCGATTTGGCGTCGATTCGTTGGTTTTAGTTGGCCGCAGAAGCCCACCCACTTTGGGGCGTCGCTACGCCATGCTATGTCAGACTACGCGTCCTCGATTTCCGCGCTTCCACGTTGTTTTTTTTCAAAGTGCTGCTTTCTCTGAAGCGCTGACTTCATTTTCGGGCTACCGCTCGTTACAAATCGTGCTCCCGCTGCAGCGCTGGCCTCATTTCCGCGCTTCCGCTCGTTCCGAATCGTGCTCCCGCTGCAGCGCTGGCGTCATTGTTTCGAGCGCCATGCCACGGCATGGTTTTCGGTCCTTTAATTGGGCCCCAACATCGAAAAAATGGGCCCCCGAGTAAACCATCGGAAGTGATTACACATTCGGTGGCGATTCGTTGATTTTTTTGGGGGGCGTCGCTGCGCCATGCTATGTCAGAGTACTCGTCCTCGATCTCCGCGCTTCCGCGTTTGTTTTTTTCAAAATGCGGCTCTCGCTGAGGCGCCGGCCCCGATTTCGGGCTGCCGCTCGTTCCGAATTGTGCTCCTTCTGCAGCGCTGGCCTCATCTCCGCGCTTCCGCTCGTTCCGAATCGTGCTCCCACTGCAGCGTTGGAGTCATTGTTTCGAGTGCCATGCTCTGGCATGGTCTTCGGTCCTTCCAAATACGCCCCAGAATCTAGAAAATGGCCTCCCGAAAAAACCATCAGAAGTGATTACACATTCGGTGTCGATTCGTTGATTTTTTTGGCCGCAGAAGCCCATGCTACGACATCCGATTGTGCGAATAGAGAGGCGATCAGCGCCATGGTAAGGGATGGGAGGCAGGGGTAGGACGTCAGATTTGACGCGAGCGCACCTAGCTTGTCCTCCTCCCTCCCTCTCTCCCTCCGTCCCTTCCTCCCTCCATCCCCTTCTCTCCCTCCTCGCTTCCTCCCCCCCTCCCCCCTCCTCCATCCACCGCCTTCCCCCCGCCGCCCCCCTTCGTCCGCACTTCGCCTCTCCTCCTCCCCCGCTCGGCGGGAAGGCCTAGGCATGCCGCCCCTGGACCTGCAGCCCGCGCTGCCCGCCGCGGACCGCGCTCCCGCCGGCGCCGGGGACCGCGAGGAGCGCTGCGCTCGCTCCGCCGCAGAGCGCCTTCGTCGCCGGCCTGCAGTAGAGAGGCCCAGGCCAATAAGCACCCTGCTTGCCTCCAGGGTGCCCTGGGTCTCTCGGGTTGCTCGGCGGGGTCTGCTGTGGAGAGCGTGGCGTTCCCACGCCAAAGATCGGTGGACGTCCTGGGGCCTCAGGGTGGGGCTTCTCGCGGGAGGGTTCTTCTGGACTGGCCTCCGCTGTGCAGCCACGCCGTGCCAGCGTTGCGCAGGCGTCGCCGACGACCGGTCGAGGAGCGGCCGCTTCTGGCAGGGGCAACGACAGGGGGGGCAATCGCCCACATGATCGCCGATGTGGGCCCGATGGCCCCGCCCCGCCCAGGAAGGTGCGGGTTCGCTGTCGGGGGCCTCGTCGCCGATCTATATCGGCGACGTGTCGCCGATTCCAGGTCGATACCTGGTCCCACCCTTTAACTGTCCCCCCCCCTACCGTTGCCCCCCCCCCCCCCCCAGGGAGCCTCGGGCGTTTCCGGGGGGGCGCTCCGGGCGCTGCTCGAGGGGGCGCCGGGGACAGGAGCGGCGGAGTGCCGACGGGGGGGTGCCAGGGGGGCAGGGCCGCCCGCCTGGGGTCCTCCGGGGGTCGCCATTGCTGTGACAACGAGGACTAAGTTGGGCACGTCCCTCTTCAAGGAGAATACTCCAAAATGGTCCCAAATCTGTCTGGGGACGATTTTCGGTTATTTTTTAAAATGCTATTTGTATTTTTTCGCCCGAAGTCTGCCTGTAGGAGGACATGCCCGACCTAAAACGAGGTCCGATTTCTTTTTAGAGGGAGGGCAGACGATCGCGACGCTGCACCATCATGCACCACATGCACTCTGTAAGCAGCGGCAGTTCCGAGGAGATATCAATTCGGCCTGGGCGGGATGGCCCAAGCGGCCATGTC